ATTTGTATTACGAGTGATAGAAAATTCAGACTGTTTGGGAATGTGGGTTATTTTCGGTGTTTTAGTAATTAGGTTTTAATTTTTGATTTTTAAACAATTAATAGTTAAAACACCTTGAGTATTTCATACTTTGAGGTACCGTAAAAAACTCATTTGATTGATACCACTGTGAGAATTTAACAGTAACTGAAATACTGTCACCATAACGTCCCAGTTTGCAAGAGTGGAATCGTCGGTTAATGCAATCAGCACTATCAAGTTTACCATAAACTTCCAGAACAGAACTGGTGTAGCATTGAATAGAGAATGTCATGTAGTCATTTACTCTAAAGTGGTGTGGTGCGTGACATTGATACTTCGGCCACTGCCAGCAATATTTTTGGGTCAGTGCTTGTGTTATGGTGGTCAGTTCCAGTTGGCCAAGACTAATGGTGGTGATTCCGGTGAATTTCAAAGATCCTTTCCTTTTTTTTTTATTCAAATGACAGATTCCACCATACAACTGGAGATACAGGTTATAAAAGTTCTGTAGTGCTCCGGAAATTTGGATACTCTAGACTTTATTATAGCTAGATTTTCGCTTTTGTATTTTTGAACAAAGATGTAACGGTTAAAAAACCTTTGAGTATCTCATGCTGCAAAGTATAATAGAAAATGATTAGTGCTATTCACACTTATTTTTACTTTCCACATCCATTTGTTAATTTACGTCATTTGATCTTCAATACATTCAATCCCACGCCCAAAACTTGAAAGAGGTGTGTGGAAAGTAAAAGGAGTGTGCAGATAGCACCATCCTAGGAAATCCCGGTTCCAAAGTTCTATGGTGTATTCACATCTACAGGTTGATATACATTGTTGTATGTCAAAAAGACTCGAAAGAACGCCTTCTTATCGATATCGTGTATTCATATCGTGTTTAGAACCACATATAACAAGTACGAATACAAGCATTTAAGTGAGACAAGGGGACCGAATGAAAGAAAATGACAATTCACATATTTCACTTTTATGAGTATTGAGATTCAACTTATTTGGTCCCCGTTCCATTGTCCCATCCTTAACCCAGGACAAAGCGCAAAAACCCTACTATCAACTAAAAACCTCAAAGAGTGAGCAGTCTCCATGAATCCATAACCTGTATGCTTTGGCCAAATTCAGTCAGCTAGTTCAAAGGACATGGAAGATGACGGGCTTCAACGAACGCAGGCAAGCAAGAATATAACAGAACTCGAGTAAACGCAACATATTCTTAATCGAAACTAAGAATTGGATAAAGAACTTAAGAAAAAACATCCAGAAAAAAACATCAGAATCATAATGAATATGCATATCGGACGTGTATAATCATAAAACGCTTGAGTGCAAAAGCAAACGTGACTTTTCTGACCAGTAAGACACCACTTTTATTGCAAGTGCTGGCAGATTCAATTGCTTTGTGCTTTAAGTTTTTCACAGATGGAATATGCAGAGGACTACCATATGGGGCAGGCAGATTCAACTGCCTTATTGCCCATTAAAATAATTAGCAGCTTATTAAGACAATGACTAAAGGACCCCAAGATGATAATAAACTTGGTTTTCTAAGAAAGAATGATAATAAATAACTAATTAAGCATGAAAGTAGAGTTAGTGGACTGACTCTGCAAATCTACACAGATTTGCTCATGAACTGAAGATTCTAATGCTGAGTCGCTGCCTAACTCTCTTTTGTCATACTATCGGGGATGGAAGGAGTACGTCCTTATCGCAAAAGCTGACACCCCTTAGACCTTACCCTTCGATGGAACCCTAATTAAATTGGACCGGCTAGCCTTCCCCATGAAGCCATGATAGTAGCAATAGTCCAAGGCGGTCTTTGGAAATGGCATGCCTCTAATTCTAATGGTACAGATGTTATACGGTGACTAACGGCCCCATCTGATAGCTAAACTTGGGAGAAAATGAACGTCTAAACATGAAGTTACCGCGTAGTGCGGTATAGTATTGACAGAACGAGTTTTATTATATGGTTGGCTGTTACCTACTAAAGGCAGATTGCTACCTTAAAGAGGGTCATTATTTCTTCCCCTCCAGCTATGCTAATTGTGCTTTCTGTCTCGCTGAACTAAAGATTAAAGCTATAGCCTAATGCTAATTGTGTTTTGTGTCCTGCAGCACTAGACTCATACTCAACCCTTTTTTCGATTTCCTGTTCAGTGAGGGAATCTGGAGGCAGGTTTTGAGTAATTGTGGAGTTCCCTTGTTCAGTATCATGTGGACCAAATCATAGCGTGGGATGGTTTCGCGTGGAGGGCTTGCTATTACCCTACAGAAGATGACTTTTGCTGGCACAATCTACTGTGTATGGAGAGTGAGGAAGAACAAAGCGTTCGACAAGGAAAGAAGTCTTCTTGTGTTGATCTGAAGCCTATCATCACTACCAATTACCAATTTTTATGTTGCAACTTTTATGTACTACTTTCGTACAATTGGTAGCAACCTGTTAGCTTCCTATCCTCTTGGGCCTAACCCGTTTAAGTATAATAAGCCCATTTAGGTATTTTGGGTTGTAGTTTCCTGAACGTATTTAAGGTCTGGTTTGGTACTGAGGTGATTCTGAAAAAAATTAATATAAAAAAAAAGTTGGGAGCTTTTTTGTGTTTGGTAAACATTTAGCTTCAGCTTTTTTTCACAGTTTTGGGTGAAAAAAGCCAAAAACAAGAAGCTGCAAAACCCAGCTTTGAAAAACCGGCTTTTTTTACATCTGTTTTACATAAAAGTTTACCAAACATTATACTAATGCTTTTTTTTTTTTCAAAAGTATTTTTACAAAAAAGTTTACCAAACACTCTACAGCTTTATTTCACAGCCGCTTATTCTCACAGTACAGCAAAAACAGTTTTTTTTCAAAGCATAATAATACCAAATCAGCCATAAGTCTCCTCCTTCTCAAGTGAGAATTATGAATGAAATATTGAATGTCTTAATTTTATTTTCTTTCTCCTTATCTCTTTGCTTCTCCATCTTTCTTCTTCTTACGATAACGGGTCCCATCACAACCCTTCATAATCTACTCGCCTATCATCTCCGTGCACACGAAGATATATTTTCATATCGCAAATTTTTCAAGGGCCTTGACAGAATTTTCACAAGTATGGATTAATTTGTACCCTAATTCCAGGTAACTAGAAAGAGTGTATGAAACAAGTAACAAAACACAACCAAAAGCAGACTACACTGATAAGCGATGCATCACTCAATATGTCACCGTAATTTCAAATAAAGAAGTTGGCAGCCAATGGGAAAAACACATAGAGGGGGCCAAAGTGTGACCTAGGAAGAACTAAGGACATACATCACCACTATGAGTGCAATAGTTTTTTTTGCCACAAATAAGACAGCCAAATCCAAATTAGCTATTTCCGATTTAATAAGGTTGGTAATGGATCTTCATAAAAATCTGCCTTGTTTATGTGATTTACAATTTTATATCCATGTATCTGTGCATGGCGTCATCAGAAATTTACAATGAGAACCTCACCTAACCAAATAAAATATAACAGCAAGGAATTTTGGAAACTTCTAATTAGTATGCAGTGTATCTTCATTTCATGACAAAGTAAACAGAAAATCAAACTACATATTTTCATACAGATGAAAGTAAGATATAACAAGGGAAAAAAGATTGAAAAACTTACCATTTAATAATGATTGATGACTGAACATATTTACATGGTCTCTGAAACAACTTTTTTTCCAACGGTCTCTAAAACAATTTCACTGACACATATATCAACTAAGCTTTCTTTCCCAAATAGCGTAAATCCCACAGTTGCCTGCACGATGAAAATAATTTTTCTTTCTTTTGTTAAGTTTCCAAAAGAGAACGTCTTTGATGTAGTATATTGAGATTCTTGAGTAAAATAATCCACAGAAGACAGTAGTAATTCTTTCATGCATATCCCCAACAACAAAGAGAGGACATGCATGTTTAATTTCCAACCAATTTTCACTTATTTAAATTGAAAATGTATATCCTATTCGAGTTGTAATCCTATAAGGATAAGGATTTAACCTATCTTATTACTATAAATAAAGACACAATGAGATGATACAACATACACCTCACAACTAAATCTCTCTCTTCTCTCTCTCTTGCCGCCGACCTCTCTCCCTCTTTAGTCCTAAATACAGTTTAGTCAAATAGACCTACAACAACATTTGGTATATTTATAATTATGGCTAAATTTTTTATTATATATTTTTATTTTTAGTGTGTACCCATTTTTAATTTACAACCCTTCTTTTAATTTGTACCAATTTCTTTTCATTTTTAATTTGTACCCATATATTAATTTTTTTTGTGCCCATATTTTTGAAACTTTTATTTGTATTTGTAACCATATTTTTTCATTTATTTGTACCCATTTTTAATTTCGCTAAATGTACCCATGCTAATTATATGTATTTATTTTATGTTTTAAAATATATCAATAGTTATTTTTCAAAATATGTTAATAATTATGTGGGTACATTATTTTTTGCTATAATTTTTGTGAAGAACAATATTACTCTAAAATTGATTTTTAAGTATTTATTATATTTTAAAAATATTATTTAAATTTGTTTAAATTTCATAATTTGTGGACATTAAATGCATAAATGAATGAGTTAAATCTCTTAAAAGATGCGAAGGACCTTGATCAAATTATTTAAACAAACAAGGTTTTAATCTAACAATTAGGTTGATTAGGGATTGGAACCAAAATGACCCTTTTTTTATACTAGTATTCATTTCTCTTGGTTAGCTAAAATAGACAAACCAATGAGTCAAATATAACTAGGTAGTATACTTAATCCAAATATTAAACTTCATTGTCATTCACGTGAGTTGAATATGAGACTTTTCATGTACTAATAAACAAGAATACTATTATATACGATAATTTTACTTATAGAAAAAAAATGACGTCAGAGGTAACGCGATTAAGTAAACAAAAGGACGTCAAGTCATTCGTTGAATAAATTAGGACACATCAAATATTAGTAATCAAACAATCTATTGTGATTTTAGTCGAACAATGATGACCAACTTATAACATTTGTGACTAATTTTATTACAAAGTTATTGATTTCTAACCAAAAGAATGAAATTGACCACGATGTTATAAATCAAAGAGTACAAAAAACGAAACAATATTTTGAGGTCTCTTCCAAACAACTTCTAACATTTGGGCAGGTCAAGTGGTGGCGGAGGCAAAGTAGATTCTAGAGTAGGTCCATTTTCAACCTCAAAAGCCAAGCCTAGGCCCCATGACAGATGAACGTCCAAATGACAGTGCATGTACCAGATTCCTAAGACAGTTGTTTAGAACAAATAACCAACCATTAATTTTAATAATATAACTAAACATAAGACATTTAATTGATAAGGTGATTAAAAAACTAACCTGGATTATTTGCTTGAAACCTAATCACAGCCCATCCTCCGACCGGCACACCAATTGTGTTACGGATTTGCGGATTAACGAAGTTGAATTTTTTGGGGTCATTAATCGGGTCGTAGTTACCAAACCCTTGTGCCAACACATGAAAATTGAAGCCGTGGAGATGGATAAGATGGTTCTCGATAGCCAAAAATGCTGTGTTTTGAAGCACGATCTCTACCGTCGAATTGAACTTTAGCGTGTTGACCTTGGTAGATTTTGGTGCGTATATTAACGATGGGTTGAAGCTGACATTCGTGTTCGTGTAATCAAACTTTACCGGAGGCTCGTCAGGAAAATCTCTGGTGTAAACCCCATTCACGTTGTTAAAATGTGCTTCCATCATTGATGTATCGCTCGGAAGCACGAATGACTCGTTGTTCATGCTAGCGGACAATCGACTAAAGAGTGGGCCTTGACATGTGGCATTTTTGGGACACATTTCCAAGTTCATGCCGATTGTCACGAACATGTGCTTGTCCACTTGAAGTGGGACCGGGACCCACTGAGGCCCGCCGATGAGGCAAGTGAGATTAGTATAGAACTTGTGGGCCAACGACGTGTCGTGAGGGTTGGGCAAGGCTGGCATAATGGGGGTTGATGACTTGGAGTTCTTGTAGACGATGATGCCTCTGGTGGTTGTGTTATCAAAGTCGATGTTCGCGCTAGCATACGGAGTGGCGGCCATGTAATAAGATCCGATAGGTTGATTGAATTTGACAAGAACATCAGTGGTTTGACCAGGTCCAGTAACCACCACGTCAGTGACATATGGAGTGGTGTAGGTGGTGTCGATGGCAACAACTATCATCTTGTGATTGGCTATCTTGAAGAAGAGTTGGTTATTGAGTGCAACGTTGATTAGGCGTAGGAGGTAGGTATCTCCTCTCACCACACTGAGTTGATATGTCTCTGATAAATTGATGTTAAACTATTAATATTCATCATTCACAAGTAATATATAAAAATAAACAAATGTGCGTGCATGCATGCATGGTTACATACGATTTTGAGAGCATTCGTATAGATCACCAGGAAGTCCATTTATGGTGTAAGCATTTGAACTATTAGGAGCAATTCCGGTAGCCAAGCCTTCTTCCTCAATGTCAACAACATTACCATTGTACCACTCTCCTGCAATTCCATCAAACATATTTTATAATGTCACAAAAATTACTATTTAAGTGCGTATCATGATGAATGTTAACTATGTTGAATGGTATTGATTGTTAATTACCTAATAAGATGGGAACTTCTTCGGTGGGCTTGAGGAAGTGGAAGGATGGACCGGCTTTCGGGTGGATTATGAGTGCGCCGTGGACGGTTGCGCGGAGCCACGAAATGTGGGCATGCCACCAAAGGGTGCCTTCTTGTCTGGTGATATTAAATTTGTAAGTAAAGCTTTGTCCAGGGCGTATAGGGCATTGAGTTACATATGCAGCTCCATCTGCCCATGCACTTAGAAGCTGAAAGATTCCATGCCTGCATAAGAAAGAAACTATAAAACATGAACAAAACATAACCCAACATTCCCCAGGGGGATTGTTAATCAAGAAAAAAAAAATTGACGAAGAACATATGGATTTGCATTTTGTTCTAAGTAATGTTGTTTAGATACACAAACTCAACACTCTCTAATACTTGTGGGTCCTAAAGAATTTGATGGGTCATCTTTATTGAAGGGTGCGTCATTAAGTGTGTCCAAATAGAAATCTTGTTTTGTTCTAGAATATGTTGAGTGGTAAATGATTTTGGATATGCAAACTATTATTTACCAGTGAATAGTAATGTTGTAGGGCGACTGGTTTAAAACGTGGACGATAAGTGTGTCTCCATCTCGTGCATGTATTGTTGGTCCGGGATAGCACCCATTTACTACAATAATCGATTGATTCCGGCACAATCGGCTAACAGTCAAGTTGTTCACCTGAAGCAGTTGAAATAAAAAAAAAAAAACTATTATGACTACTATTATTCAAAAGAAACATTTAAATAATTAGTGAGAAATATGCATAATAAAACAAGGATCCCGAAGGGCTTATTTGAATATTGTTTCGAAAAACCGTTTCTATGAAAATTTAAATTCTTACGTGATATTAATCAGAAGTAATTTTGGAAGTCAAAATGCGGTTTTAGCCATTCTAGAAACATTCATGAGCATACCCAAAATTGAGGCTAGACTTACACTAAAAGAATGCTCAACAATTGCCCCAGAGGCTACTGAAGAAGCCAATAGAGTTAGAGAACAAGCTAGCACAAAGGGTAAGTGTGCCATATGGGGAACAAAGGAGCTAGCTGACGGGGCAATGATGAGTTTGAGAATCGTATATTGTTGTGAAGATATATGTTATGTTTATATAGGCATTTGGAGAGAAGTAGCTAACAAATTAAGCAATAAATTTTACTTGCTTTGATAATTAAGGACTTTGAAACGTGGAACGCGCAGGCATATATATATATATATATAAAAGGAATGGTATTGTACATCCAGCTAACAGTTTGATTAAGTTGGCGACTCATCAGAGAATGCTAGCATAAAGTTATGAACACAATTCTGAAATATTATAAGACAAAATTATTTAGGATATGATTTTTGACTGCACAATATACGACGAACGAATATGATTTGAGGATCCCAAGGATCCTCACAAAGAGGATCCGGCGAGGATCCTCATTCCTCTAAGTTATATTGCTCCAAACTCGAAATATGCTTCCATGCCTAAGCAATTCCTGCACACAATCGTGGTCAGTGAGAAGCTGAAAATGCTTCTATAAGTCTTTTCGATTCCTAAAAGAATTGATTGTTGTGACAAAGCCATCGTCTGATCATTTTTAAAATAGAAATAAAAGACAATTAAAACTGCATAAGCTCAAAAATAAGTACTAATAAAAGATATATTTGTATTATGAGTGGCAGAAAATTTAGACTGTTTGGGAATGTGGGTTATTTTCGGTGTTTTAGTCGTTAGATTTTAATTTTTGATTTTTAAACAATTAATAGTTAAAACACCTTGAGTATTTCATACTTTGAGGTACCGTAAAAAACTCATTTGATTGATACCACTGTGAGAATTTAATAGTAACTGAAATACTGTCACCATAACTAACGTCCCAGTTTGCAGAGTGGAATCGTCGGTTAATGCAATCAGCACTTTCAAGTTTACCATAAACTTCCAGGACAGGGTGTAGCATTGAATAGAGAATGTCATGCAGTCATTTACTCTAAAGTGGTGTGGTGCGTGACATTGATACTTCGGCCACTGCCAGAAATATTTTTGGGTCAGTGCTGGTGTTATGGTGGTCAGTTCCAGTTGGCCAAGACTAATGGTGGTGACTCCGGTGAATTTCAAAGATCCTTTCCATATTTTTATTCAAATGACAGATTCCACCAGACAACTGGGGATGCAGGTTATAAAAGTTCTGTAGTGCTCCGGAAATTTGGATATTCCCGAATTTATTACCGTTAGATTTTCGCTTTGTATTTTTGAATAAAAATGTAACGGTTAAAAAATCTTTGAGTATCTCATGCTGCGAAGTATAATAGAAAATGGTTAGTACTTTCCACACACTCATTTTTACTTTCCACACACCCTTGTTAATTTACATCATTTGATCTTCAATACATTCAATCCCACAGCCGAAACTTGAAAGAGGTGTGTGGAAAGTAAAAGGAGTGTGCAAATAGCACCACCCTAGGAAATCCCGGTTCCAAAGTTCTATGGTGTATTTGTTGTGATTGGCCCATATTTTGAGTTCGCAACAATGAAGTGACATGTGTTTGCTTTCGGTGGAAATATCACATGGTGTGGGCTGCATTGAAAGTTGCAGAGAAGTTCTGCAAAATAAAAGCAAAGTGGGTTTGCCTTATTACTTAGGGAGCATTATGCAAGAAATGTGATGATGACTTGACCTTTATTTAATGCAAGGAAATGCTTGCATTAGGTGTGCATGCCGTGTGTGAGATGGCAGCTAGAAAAGTATCCAAGGTGGAGAGAGCATTCAGCTCTCCCATGGGAAATGTTGAACATGGGTTGAGAGAAAATCAAGAGAACTAGAGTGAAAAGTCTTTAGCGAAAGAACTCTTGGCGTAGAGTGAAGCTCTTGGGAAATTCTATGAGTGGGTGTACAAGGGATTTGGGATTAGGTTATGTCAATTTAACTTATGTGTACTTGTACTGTTATGCTCATAGTGAAGAACAATATCTCTCCGGGGACGTAGGCAGGATCAACTGCGAAAGTTGATGTTGAGGAAGAAGACAAATACCTCTTTCTTTTTACCTCACTTTCAGATTCGTACGAGAACCTTGTGAAACTTTACTGCATGGAAAGATACAGTAAGTTTGGAGCAGGTGCAAGCTTCTTTGGTGTGCACGAGACTACTTCAACTATTTAAGGTTGGAATCGTGGAAGAAAATTGGAAAGAGGATCTGAGAGAGATAACAGGTTCAGATCCGGTTCCAGAGTCAAGTGTCCACAGTGCTACAAGTGCTAGGCGGGGTTGTAGCAAGTTTGTGGCAGAATGCTTTGAGTATGCCCTCTAGGTACTCGAAAGCAACACTTCTCCTGGTGATGTTTAGTCTCAAGTGTTGCATGGGTTTTGTAGCAGGTGGAGCTATAGGATTCACAGGTGATCAGATGGTCCTGAGGTAGGAGGCAGTGTGGGAATTTTGTCTGGCTCGACAAGTGTTGCTGGAATTGGGTGCACTGACAAGTTTCCAGTTGCAGACAATGAAGAGGAGGAAAACCTGATGGAGGAGACGAGAGTGTGCTGAGATCCTATCTGAAGCTAAATGGTGTTTTTTTTAGCTTGTAGCAGCTGCACATGTAATGACAGTGACTGAATCGGAACAGGACCAACGAGGTTGATTCATGGTGTGTATGTTGGTACGTAAGGCCAATGGGCTTTGATGATAGGTGCAAGGATTTTTGCACTGTATTTCACCAAGGTGGAGATTGTTGTGATTGGCTCATATTTTGAGCTGGCAACAATAAAGTGACTTGTGTTTGCTTTCGGTGGAAATATCACATGGTGTGGGTTGCATTGAAAGTTGCATACAAGTGCTGCAAAGTAAAAGCAAAAATGGGTTTGCCTTTTGACTTTGGGAGCATTATGCAAGAAATGTGATGATGACTTGACCTTTATTTAATGCAAGGAAATGCTTGCATTAGGTGTGCTTGCCGTGTGTGAGATAGCAGCCAGAAAAGAATCTAAGGTGGAAAGAGCATTCGGCTCTCCCATAGGAAATGTTGAACATGGGTTGAGAGAAAATCAAGAGAGCTAGAGTGAAAAGTCTCTAGTAAAAGAACTCTTGGAGTAGAGTGAGGCTCTTGGAAAATTCTATAAATGGGTGTACAAGGGATTTGGGATTGGGTTATGTCGATTTAGCTCATGTGTACTTGTACTGTTAATCTCATTGTGAAGAGCAATATCTCTCCGGGGACGTAGGCAGGATTTTACCGAACCTCGTAATTCTCTTGGTGTATTTATTTCTTGTATTTTATTCTGTTTAACTGAGTGTGATTTGGTGAGGTTGTAATCTGAATCTCGTTTCCGCACTAATGAACAGGCCAAGACACAACAATTGGTATCAGAGCATCGTTGGAGGTCTAGATTTATTCACCATGGAATTTTCAGTTGAGTAGTTTAATGGGAGTGGCTGTTTTACTCTTAGCAGATGAGAGTAATGAATCCCGAAGAAATGAAAGACATGTTCAAGGATGCTTGGATCAACTGCGAAAGTTGATGTTGAGGAAGAAGACAAAAGCCTATTTCTTCTTACCTCACTTTCAGATTCATACGAGAACCTTGTGAAACTTTACTGCATGGAAAGATACAACAAGTTTGGAGCAGGTGCAAGCTTTTTTGGTGTGGAATGATACACAAAGGAAACCATGGATGATGGTGGGCACGAGATTGCTTAAGCTATTCAAGGTTGGAATCGTGGAAGAAAATTGGAAAGAGGATCTGAGAGAGGCAACAGGTTCATATCCGGTTCCGGAGGCAAGGGTCTACAGTGCTACAAGTGCTAGGTGGGGTTGTAGCAATTTGTGGCAGAAGGCTTCGAGTATGCCCTTTAGGTACACGAAGCAACACTTCTCCTGGTGATGTTTAGTCTCAAGTGTTGCAGGGGTTTTGTAGCAGGTGGAGCTATTGGATTCACTGGTGATCAGATGGTCCTGAGGTAGGAGGAATTGTGGGGATTTTGTCTGGCTCGACGGGTGTTGCTGGAAATGGGTGCACTGACAAGTTTCCAGGTTGCAGATAATGAAGAGGAGGAAAACCTGCTGGAGGAGATGAGGGTGTGTTGAGATCCTGTCTGAAGCTAAATGGTGATTTTTAGATGGTGCAGGTGCAAATGCATTGGCAATAACTGAATCGGAACAAGACTAACGAGGTTGATTCAGGGTGTGTATGCTGGTACGTAAGGCCAATGGGCTTTGGTGATGAGTGCAAGGATTTTTGTACTGTATATTCACCAAGATGGAGATTGTTGTGATTGTCTCATAGTTTGAGCTGGCAACAATGAAGTGACTTGTGTTTGGTTTCGGTGGAAATATCACATGGTGTGGGTTGCATTGAAAGTTGCAGACAAGTGCTGCAAAGTAAAAGTAAAAGTGGGTTTGCCTTTTGACTTTGGGAGCATTTTGCAAGAAATGTGATGATGGCTTGACCTTTATTAAATGCATGGTAAAGCTTGCATTAGGTGTGCTTGCCGTGTGTGAGATGGCAGCCAGAAAAGCATCCAAGGTGGGTAGAGCATTCGGCTCTCCCATGGGAAATGTTGAACATGGGTTGAGAGAAAATCAAGAGAGCTAGAGTGAAAAGTCTCTAGTGAAAGAACTCTTCGGGTAGAGTGAGGCTCTTGGAAATTTCTATGAGTGGGTGCACAAGGGATTTGGGATTGGGTTATGTCGATTTAACTCATGTGTACTTGTACTGTTATTCTTATAGTGAAGAGGAATATCTCTCTGGGGATATAGGCAGGATATTGCCGAACCTCGTAATTCTCTTGGTGTCTTTATTTCTTGTATTTTATTCTGTTTAACTGAGTGTGATTTGGTGAGGTTGTAATCTGAATCTCGTTTCCGCACTAATGAACGGGCCAAGGCACAACAATTGGTATCAGAGCATCGTTGGAGGCTTTGGTTCGTTGGAGGTCTAGATTTATTCACCATCGAATTTTCAGTTGAGCAGTTTAATGGGAGTGGTTGTTTTACTCTTAGCAGATGAGAGTAATGAAGCTCGAAGAAACGAAAGACATGTTCAAGTGTTGCAGGGGTTTTGTAGCAGGTGAAGCTACTGGATTGACAG